GATTGAAAGCACCGTCTATGTCTAAGAAAGCTATTCTTTTATCTCCAGAGACTTTTCAATCTCTGCTACCACTGAGTTTATGCGAAACTGCCATTTTTTTCTGGGTTTAGTTTGCTCATTATGTTCCATATAATTCTATTAGCCTTTCCAACGTTTTTAAGAGAAATGAGGAAAGACTAATTGGTCTGAAATCCTTTTGATTAGTATGTGAGCTTTTGGTGTATATTATACATGACTTTCCTCCATAACGAAGGAATATAGTTTAATTAAAGTGCCCCTTTAAGCATGGTTGTTAACCAGTTTATTATGTAGCTCTGGGACTGCCGTAACTTAGCCGGAAATAAACCGTCTGGTCCCAGAGATTTGTAGGGCTTGAAGCTGTCTATCGCCCAATAAACATTACTATCTGACACTATGTCTACAGGAGGGGACTCTGCTTCCACTTCACTGCCCAGTGTATATTCTATTGTGTGGTTTTCGGAGCGCCTGGGAAGTGAGTATCCACTAACAGGCCTAGAGACTGTTCACTGGATACCGTCCAGCTGTGGTCTGGTTTCTGGAGGGATCCAATGTTATGCACCGATTGTGACATTACTTTTCTAAGCGAAGACGCTTCCGCCATATTCTCGATATCATTACAAAAATATTTCCACGAATTTCTTTTTGCTTTTCTTACTTCTATTTTATGTGACCAGAGGTTATAATATTGGGATAACTCTTTTTCTCCTTGGGATAGTTTGGCTAAATTAAATTGCTTTGGGCAATCTTTCTGTAAGTTCTTAAGTACGGGAGACCACCAGGGGGGCCTAATTTCCTTCTCTTTCCCTACTACGTGTTATTGGACAAGCAATCTCTAATGCTTGTCAACAAGAATCTGCGAACTGTTTAACGAGTATATCTACATCCTCTTTGTTTCCTGGTTGAAATGGCGGAATCATAGGAATACGCTTTTTTAACTCCTGCAGGTGCATCTGTCAGTTCGTTTTCCTATGTTTCCTGAAAATTTCTACATGTCTACATTCTTTTCAATTTTGCATTCAATGTAGCGGTGGTCTGAAAAGTAGTATTCTTCAAGAACTCTCCATTGGGTTAACCTATTTATCAATTCTTCCGACATGAGTGTAATGTCTAATACCTCCTGCAGGTTTCTTCTCTGTTACATAAAAGCCTAGCCTTACTAGGTAAGTAGTTAAAGAGCAACTCACCTCTTTCTTTGATATCCGTGCTGCGATAACGGGTGGTGTGATTAGAGTCGTATCCAAGGATAGTCAAGCACCTGTAACAGGACACCAGCCGGTATTTGCTGCTGCCCGTCTCCCAGCTTGCTGCTATAGTGTCTTGATTACTATAGCTGTGTGTAGACATTAAGCTTTTTATTAGCTAATGTACATGTCCTAGCCTATAAATTATAACCCGGTGTCCTCAGTACGCAAATATGTCCCATATTAACCCATGGGTCCTGAAGGAGCACGACGTCAGGCTGTTCTGCTGCCATGCGGTTAATAGCTTAGAGAGTATGTCTGCAAACTCAGACCCCAAAGTACACTCACCTTGCTCAGTGTTTTCCACGTGCTCGAGGATTCCATTGGATCTACGTCGACTTTACATTCCGTTTCCGATGCCAAGTTGTCTATTGCATGTAGGTCATGACCTTCACCTTTGCCTTTCATTATGCATTATGGCTAGTTTCGTCTCCATACCAGATTCCGCTGCGAGGTCTTCGAAGGTCTTGACAAATTTCCATCCCCCAGTTGGCATATTCGGATTGCAAGCTCGGATGAGCGGCATTATGCGGTCCGACTGCGATGGTGTAGCCTTGCCCTTGGTCGGGATGGGATATCCACATCATCACAGCTATAATCTTTATATATCTTTGGCCGTGGTACTATCCGGCATCCGCATATGACGGGGGCGGATCTGGATTGCTTAATAACACTTCCAGCGCCACATTAGTCAGTGCGGCTTGCAGCTATTTTCATGGGGCTTCTGGGAGTTTTTTCTTCGGAATCTCTCTCATCCAGCACACTAATGATAATGCGGCTGCGGGCCACATCAGCATCATGATTTTGCGGGCGTCACGCCCTTAGTCTTCGGTCTCTTGGCTGCCACTACTAGCGGTTCAAGTTAAAAATTAGGTAAAACTCGCGCAGTCTGTAGATTTTTAGACATTCTCCATTAGCTCCTCCTCCTTTTTTCCGGTTGCAGCTCTACTTTTCTCAGCAGGTATGCAGCACGGCGCTTCTCCGCATACCTCGGCTTCGCTGGGTCCTCGATCCGCTACGCAAGTAATTCTATTTTATTACAGAGGGCCAAGTATCCGTAAGCTCTGTTCGAGACTGGGTCGCATGATGCCTTGATTCATCCCCTTATGTACCTCTACCATAGTATGACTCCCTATCTGAATGCACCTAAAGAGGCGTCTAACGCAGGTTTTGGAGATATCTCAATCAGAGTGGCAAAAGTGCTTCTACAATTGGTTAAAACTTAGCTGACCATTCGTCCCGGTTTGGCCGGGACAGTCTGGATTCCGAGTTAAGCGTCCCGGCCATCCCGAGCTTAGAAATTAAAAAAAGAACGTATTGAACAAAATTGTGTTGCCTCTTACCTATTATATGTCGCGATTTTCAGTGAATTATAATATGGAAAAAATCGACGACTAAAAAAAGTCGTCCCGTATTTTGCCGGGACATATATGGTCAGCTAAGTTAAAACATATGCTAAAGTGTATAGACCTTAATGGAAAATATTTTTAAAAACAATAAAGCGATTTTCGATGGTTAATATTTATTTTTGTTTTCTAATCCCGAAATTATATAAGGTGTTATTGAGTTTTGGAATTAAGACATATCATTACCAGAAATAGAGGTTCTATGACATTCTTTAAAAAACCTTACAGATCGAGTAATATATATGTATAAGGTATAAAGTCAATCGGGAAGTATTGCCCTGATTTCATCCATTTTAGCTGGGAGGATATAGTGTTATTAGATAGAGATTCTTTCTGAGTTTCATTAAATTTATTACATATTGACCATAGATAAAAATCAGCCATATGGGCTGGGGTACACATATTTGGATTCTTGAAAAGTTATGATCCGATTTCTACAATTTTTGGGCGAAAGATGAAATAAGTTGAGGGCACTATTTGTGCAATGTTTTATTCTGTTAACTTCATTAATGTTTGATTTGTATACTGTAAAGTGCAAAAATCAGATGGAATAATAAAAGTTTGTTATATGTTAAGTAGGTTATTTTCACAGCGTATGATAGGAATGTTTGGGTAACCTCTCGCACAAAATTCGGTTGAAATTGGTCAAGTACTTCCTGAGATATTGGATTTTCCTATAGGTGGACGGTGCGTCGCCCAATTTCCAATGTGTACACCTGTTTCTATAAAACCCTTCCCAACCATCTTGGTTAATTTAATGATTGTGGCGCATTTATTCATTGAGTTATCGCACCTTTAGTAGTTTTCAACATATCCGTTATATAGCGAGTGGGTATGGATATTATCTGGTTTTACTTATTTTCATAGTGTGTGAAGAAATGCGAAGGGGTTTCTTGTCAGCAAATTTGGTTGATTTAGCTTCAGCGGTTTGGAAGATATGTACATTTAACCATTTAGGAGGTGGGGACGCAAACCTCTTCCCAACGGACAAAGAGATTAATTCTTCATAACGAATCCCACCAAATCGTCTGTTGGGACTTCCCGAATAACTTAGTGAATAGTGTTCAGTCCTGGTGTTAACACGTACGATGGCGCGATCAAACCTAAGCTTAAAGGAAAAAATTGAAATTATCAACACTAGTGACGAAAACAATTTGTCTGTTCGCTGATTAGCCCAAAGTAAATTTTATTAATATCATTCAAACATAAATTTAAGTTATTTTTCGCGTGTTCCAACTTTTTTTAAATCCAAATTAATCGATTTAGTTATGAGTCGTTATATGAAAAATTTATTGTAAATAAGTCCGATTTTTATGTTCAAATTTAAAGTTGGAAAAACCCAGGCTGCGCTCATTACAAAGAAGTTATTCGAATGAAATGGATGTCCGGAGATAATGTTGAAATAAAAACATCGTTGGTGAAACCAGATAAAATTTGGTTAAATGTGTGCAAGGCGAGAAGCCAAAATATTTTCATATCTGGGCCAATAATACAGGCGGAAAAAGGTCACCCACAAGCTCGGCATCAATGATTTTCTGGCTCCTAATGGCGGGCTACACATAACATAAGTTTGCAGAAAATTTGTGGTGCAACGGTCAAACAAAAAGACATCGATGGCTCTTGACGTAATGACACAGTGGCTGACACATTTTGACAAAACAATGGAGTTGTAAAATAGAAAATTATTATAATTTTTAGACAACGCAGCATCTCACCATTTCAAGATAAGTTTTAAAAGTGTTAAAATAATTTTTCTGCGTAGTAACACGACTCGACTTTAGTTTTTCAGCCTTTGGATCAGGGAATTATTCAAAAATTGGAAATTTATTATCGATACTTTCAAGCTAAAGATATCTTGGTAAGCATAGAGACTGGCTGGCCTAAACAAATATAAATGTTTTAGGTGCAATACCATTTATAAAAGGAACCTGGGCGAAGGTTGATATAAGTCGTGTGCTAAATGAGATATGTATATTAAACCTAATAGGGGCGTTGCTAATAAAAATTTTCAGCCCACAAGTGTCCCTCACTACTACGATCCCCTCCAGTGTTCAGTTTTGTATCTTAATCTGGAACGTAATATGGTACTTTATAGGTTTTCATTTAATGGCATTTTCTGGGCGACAATGAGCCTATTACGCTCGTCTGCAATATCAACCTCTCCTCAAATTTCAATCAAGATATCTAAATTTTTACTCAAGTTGTCGCTTGCAAAGATTTTAACTCGTCTCCTGATCATGAAAATTATGTAACCTATCTATCTTTATTAAAAAAATTATTAAATTTGTTTTTATTATACTATACAATACATATATTCATGCCTTTTTTTCAGTGCCCGTAGCGCGAAACCTTGTGTACTATTTTTTGACGAATTCGATAGCTTGGCACCGAAACGTGGTCACGATTCAACGGGCGTTACAGATCGCGTTGTAAATCAACTACTGACAGAATTAGACGGTGTTGAGAGTCTGCAAGGGGTTACCGTAATTGCGGCCACTTCTCGTCCTGAACTACTTGACCCAGCGCTACTACGTTCAGGACGTATCGATCGTTTCGTTGAATGTGGTCTTCCCGACGCTTTGGCACGTGTGCGAATTTTCGAAGCACTATCAGCTTCTCTGAATTTAGGTGACTGCGTTGATTTTGATTATTTCGGCAGTCGCACTCAAAACTACACAGGCGCTGATATACAGAGCATACTAACCTCGGCTAACATGATTTCGGTGAAAGAGGCTTTGTCCCAATATGGACATGAGGTGAGTCAAATATGAATATGTTTTATTAGAGAAAACGAATGTGAAATGCATGAAGCGTGGGACAATTACATTCATTTAACGAGTAATTTTGTTAAGGATAGGAATGTTAGATGAGATACGTGTTGCATAGATCCTCCTTGTACATTTTATGTTCACGAACAGGATGTCTTTGCGCTGACAAGTTGGATAACTACAGAGGTGACTTTACATATAATAGCAATACTTTATAGCCCATAATTAGATTTAAAAGAGCGCAATGTAAATGAACAGTCACCACGACCATATCCACGAGCATTGGATTATTCCCGCAGAAACGAGCGAGCTGATTGCTCTTTTGCAACGCCAATCCTGCAATACTTTGTAGTAATTAAAAAATAGATTTGAATATATTTGAAATATTCTTAAAATAACTCAAAATCGCAGTCGAATACATTTATTTATAAATAGGTAGACTATTTTTAGTAGTTGGATTTTAGTTTTGAGCTTTTACATTATGAAAAATTAAAACTAAAAAACAAAATGTGTGAAATGTCGTGTATACAAATTGAACAATTAACATTGGTCAAATGAAAACAAAAGAGAAAAACTGATTTCTACGTTGCCACTAGGGGCATAAATTTTGACAAATATGGTTTGATACGGGCGGTAAGTACGGAAGAGCGGAATGTCGGTGACTGTTTCCAGCATATACATATAAGGACTGTCCAGCAGACACAGACACATTGTGCAGCAGACACAGTTCTAGCAGTGATAAAGAGATGCCCAACTCACCTTTCAATGGAAATCAGAGTGCAATTGCTAAACGTCAAAACCTCCTGAGCTCAGGCAACTGTCAAAGTTCAGGAGGTCTGACGTTAAAGAGGGCGGGAAATCCTACAGAAAAATATGTAAACAGAGAGATTTGTTGCTGCTGTTGAAGATCACTAACAAAAATTGGAAAAAAATGAAAATGAAACAAAACGCGAAATTGAAATGTGTATGATGAAATCTTTGTTGATGTTATGCTTGAGAGCAAATACATTTATTCTTTTGATTAGGTATTGAAAGTTCAAAAATCAATTGGTTTAATATACACTAGGTAGAAAAAGTGTCCGCACACTGGGTACAAAATCTTTTGAACTAAAATAAAAGTTTGATCAATTGACCAATTAAGAATTTTTTTTGTGTTATTAAATCATATCTTTTCACTTAAAAAAATTTACTTTTTTTCAAATTATTCAATGAACAAAAGCCACAGAGTTCATTTTCAATTTAAAAACAATTAACTTAAACAGAAACAGTCTCCGCTCATCAACCAGAACACAATAATATTAAGTAATAATAAAAAGTTTATTACCTGGTGGGGGATCCTCGAAATTTTAGAGCTTCTGCTAGACGTTTAGGCATGGAATGTACTAATTTTCTCGTATCTTGGTCTGACATTTTACTCCATTTGTCCAATATAACGGTCGTGAGCATTTCTTTGCTGGTAATCGTATGTGTGCGAATTCTGCGCTCCAATAGAGCCCATAAATGCTCAATTGGATTGAGGTCAGGTGATTGTGAGGTGAATGTAGCTGTTTTGTATCATTGTAATGAAGCCAAAGGCGAACAAGTTCCGCTGTATGCTTAGGGTCATTGTCCTTTTGGAAACAAAACACCTTTAGCAATCCTAATTTGTCAGCACTTTGCTTCATTTGTCGTTTTAAAATATTTAGGTAAACAAATTTATTCAATGCGTTTCATACGGGTATTTAAGGAAATGAATGGCTTTTTACGTGCCACTCGCCCATGATATCCAACTCTTTTTAATATTTTACTTGCTGTGTCGCTGCATGTTGTTTTTTTAAATCGTATTTTTACATCTTCTGCTATTTGGGAAGCGGTTAAACGCGGATTAACCTTTACAAGAGATACAACTTTGCGTGTTTCCCGATGAGTCGGACGTCCAGATCGAGGCTTTGAAGTAATAATTCCCGTTTTTTTTGAAAGTCTGGAAGACGTATCGCACTGATGATTCCGTTCTGTTGACAACTCGTCCAATTTCACGAAAGCTTTTACCGTCCTCCCTTAATTTTAAATATATTTTCTGCTCATCAACACTTATTTCTTTGCCTTTTGCACTCATTTCGATTAAAGCTGAATAATTCGAAATATTTTCTCACACTTTCAGATTTTTTCTTCGATTATCTAAATCTGTATTATTGACAACAACGCACAAAAAATTATCAGGTCTTAAACGCGTATAAACTACAATAAACTAATGTAATAAACAGTGAGCGGATACTTTTTCTGCTTATTCTCCATAAGTAGAATTCAAAAAATGCCGTTAACTTTGCAAACGCACATTGGAATTCCCTGAAATTTGTCGACTGTAATGCTATTAGCATGCGCATCTGATATTCTAAAAAGAACTTCAAAAACGCATATATTTTATTAATAATTTTATTGAAACAGATTTCACGGATTAGTGAACGGACATTTTTTCTACCTAGTGTATTAAAAATCACAAAAAAATTCCATAAATTATTATTTTGTCCGAACTGGCTACAATGGAAAATGTTATAAAAACGCTAATTTTGAGGCGCTCTCACACTGGATTAAGTTGGGCATCCCCCGTTGGACTTTTATTTAACAATCCAGTGATCGAACTCAAATTGTATAATTTAATGCCATATATAATAATAGGAAATAAATTAAAATAATATTTTAAGTCCCTTATAGGCCATGTTGCCAATTCTCTCTTCTGAAGGGCACATCAGTCAAATTCTTCAATTTATGATTTTTAGCATTGTCGTGAAGTAGTAAGATTGTCAGTGGTGGCTGTTCAATTTGTAAAATGTAAATTTTGGCTGATTCTTAAATTTTTTAAAATCATTCAATTTCAATTTTATTTTTGTTATCCTCGCGATTTGCGAGTAGGAATTCCATATGAAATCCAAATGCAGTTGACCAGGCACACAGAAAAAAGAGCGGTGTGCAGAGTTATAAACGATCATACTTAGTTTTGTAGCTGGCGCACGTCTCTTATGAATGAATTTGTTGTCGTCGTAATATGAAATACTTAGAAAATATGTTGCAAGCTTGCTCGAATGTTTGGTCACTGATGGTGTGTCTGCGTTTTTTTGTCGCTTGTGCGAATGTTTGATTTTTTACAAATGACTTGTTGAAGGACGTACGTACATATGTATCTGAACATATAGTTCCTGGCAATAAATTATAATCAAATAGATTGTTCCGAAATAATTAACAATCCATATTATTTGTCCGATAAATTTCGGATACGTTTTGCTTGTAATCGATTCCTACAATATTTACCTTTTAAGACACCACGATGATAGCTCTGTTACATTTGACCGTTATCTTTGTGCTCAAACTAAACAAATGGTCGCATTTGCTGTCGTGACAAAAATATAGAATCGAATAGAAGGAAATAACAAGTAAGGAAGGGTTAAGATCGGGTGTAACCGAACATTTCATACACTTTCAACTTGCAAGGATCAAATCCATGGAATTTCCTTCAGTTAATTAATTTTATAAATATGTAAGTATTTCGACATTCATAGGATTTGTTAGAATAAAGAAAATTATTATATATGGTATATGAGGGTTTGAATAATTCGTAGACCAATATCACATATTTTCGACATTTTTTTTTTTTTTTTTTTGCGGGTGAGGGGGTGGAAAATGCCTTCCGCATCATCAGTGCTGTCGTCACAGCAACGGTATGTGCCACTTGCAGGTCACTAAAAACCCCCCCTCTAGGGAACCGTCGCCCACCCTGGAACCGCGTTTGCATTACTTCAGGGTGGCGTTCCATTTTCCTCATTGAGAGATTTACATCTACGTACCTGCGTCCAGGTCCCGCTTTTTGCTGCGAAGCAAAGTTTCTGCGAATTTCTGGATAATAGACCAGTTAGCTTCGCTCTCCATCATGACGCTGATTAAGTTGTTTGCGCTTATTGGACCGACCAGGTCTTCTACGGCGGTACGTTCCCTTTGCCATCGCTCACATTTAAAGAATGTGTGTTCAGCGTCGTCTTCAGTCGCATCGTTGTATAGGCATGCCGGCTCTTCGACTTTTCCCATTCTGTAGAGATACTTTTTGAAGTATCCATGACCGGATAGTAGCTGCGTTATGTAGAAGTCGACTTCTCCGAATTTTCGACTTGTCCATAAGTTTAGGTCTCTTATAAGTCTGGCCGTCCATCTGCCGCGACTCTCATTCTCCCATCTTCGTTGCCATGCTGATATCGTGTCTTTCTTTATTTGGTCTAATGCGCTTTTGTTGTATTCAGACATTTTCTTTAGCTCCCACAGCTTTTTCCTTTCGTATGCCAGAAGGTCAATTGGGGCATTTCCGCTTATGACTAATATTGCATCACCTGATACCGTTCGGTAAGCTGATGCAACTCTGAGGGCTGCGGTGCGGTATACTCTAGCCAATACCTTACGCCGGTTTTCCTTTTTTAACACATCTGCCCAAATCTCTGCTCCGTATAAAAGGACGCTGATGGTCGTGGACATTACAAGCTTTCTCTTTTCTTGGCTGGGCCCCCCTATATTGGCCATTAGTCTACTGAGTTGGGAGGTGATTTTCGCTGCTTTCCCTGCGGCGTGCTGGATTTGTACCCAGAAAGTTAATCTGGGGTCCAGTCTTACGCCTAGGTAGTTCACCGCTTTTTGTGTCCTTAGAGTGTCCGTAATCGTTTGCATACTTATTTCGAGAGGTATGTGCTTATTTGTTAGCAGTAGTAGTTCTGTCTTCTCCGTAGCGAGCTGGAGGTTGTGTGAGTCAAGCCATGTTTGTGTCCGTATCATGACCTGGTTTAGCTTTCTTCGCGCATCTTCTGTGTCTCGGGCTGTAATTACTGCTGCAATGTCGTCCGCGTAGCCAATTAGGTACGATTCGTCTGGCATTTCGAGTTTTAGTATGGCGTCGTAGTTGATGTTCCACAAGTCTGGACCTAAAATGGATCCTTGTGCAGCTCCTGACGTAACCGCTATCCGTCGTGATCCCT